TGGCATGTTTTAAGAACACATACAATTCCCACCACCTATACAGCCACAATAATGAAGATTTATTTAGGACAAATCATCAGAGGAGAAAGTAGCAAAATACTTTGCTATTAAAAAAAAAAAACCAAACAACCCTGAGGTTTGCACTTTAATAAAAATTAATATATATATAAAATGCTATATATAGATATAGTTGTAGACTCACAACACAGTGAGCTTACAACAGACTGTTCAGATTTTAACAAGTCTCAAAATGGCTCTGCATGACCTTTGAAACAACAGAACACTGACAGTTGGGGAACACAATCCCAGGATTATGGGCTAGTCAGTAAGCTTTACAGAGCGAAAGATTATAATCAAGGCTTGGAAAAAAAAAAAAGCAGCAATCATTTCACCACTAAAATGGACATGAAATCAGCTTCTGCCTCCCCGCATCACTTTTAGATGTTCCAAATGAGCACTTTTTACTCACTCCCATAGTTTTACATGTAATAAAAATAGAGAGGAGGAATATATGACCTTCGAAATTGATCTCAAGGGGGTCTCTCTTTTTTCTTTTTCCCTCCTCTTTAAACCTAGCCAGCCTAACTCTACACAGCTTCAACTCAGCAGAAAGAGCAGCAGAGAGATGAAGAGGCTCATTACTTAGAAGAGGTTCACACCTCTTCATTCATTTTACTCTATTATATAACTAGCTAGCCAATCAAAGAAAAAAAATACTGATAGCCACTTCTTTTAAAATCTGTTTCTTTACATGATCCTGCATTAAAATAGACTACACTTTATAGGTGACAAAAGGAAGACTGATGAATGAGATAGGGGACCTTGTTACATGGGACATGGAAAATGCTGAAGTACTGAATAACAGCTTTGACACAACCTTTCCTAGCAAGACCAGCCTTCAGGAATCCCAGGTCCCAGAGACCGAAGGGGAAAGAAAGACTGAAGTAAAAACAATAGACCTTTAGTGAAAAAGGTCTGGGTCAGAGAATACCTGAGCAAACTGGGCACGCTTAAGTCTAAGGGGCCTGATGCGATGCAGCCATGAGTGCTGAGGGAGATGGCTGATGGCAAAGTGAGGCCACTCTCCACAATTTTTGACTAATTGTGGTGAGTGGGAGAAGTGCCTGAAGACAGAATGAAAGGAGATGTCACTTGTCTTCAAACAGAGTAAGGAGGAAGACCTAGGGAACTTACAGGCCAGTCAGCCTCACCTCCAGCCCTGGGAAAGTGATGGAAGTATTCTATCCTGGAAGCCATTTTCAGGCACAAGGGACAAGATGATGCTCATTACAAATAGCCAGCACGACTTACCAAGAGGAAGTCATCCTTGACCAACTTGCTAAGTTTCCATGATAAAATGACCAGCAGCCTGGTAGATGAGGGATGAATTGTGGATGTTGTCTACCTGCACCTCAGGAAGGCCTTTGACACTGTCTTCCGTAAGACCTGTCAGGGACAGAGTGACGCACCTCACTCTTAAGAGAGAAGTGGTAATATTTTCATTGGTATAAACCAGAGAACCAAGAAAGTTTTATCAAAAAAGTGAGAATGACTTAACAAGATTCGATAGCAACACTATGCAGATTATTTACTGCATAGAGGACAGGGTCAGACAACACTGTCAGGGAGACCCTCCCATTGAGTCATGAGGTTCAGAAAGACACCCTTTGCATCCTAAACTCCTTCTCAGAGGAGAATTTAAGTGATGATGGGTCCAGACTCAGTCCCAGACTTGATCAATTATTTACATCTAAAGACTCTTAACCTTGAGGAGTAACCTTGAGCGGTGTCCCTACTGAAGGGGAGATCCTGGCATGCTGCCTGCTGCATGCAGGAGAGCTCAGTGCGCTCTGGGCTGTCCACTATTTATGGAATAAAATAACTGACTCATAGTTGTATTTTCATAGTTACCAGAAAACCTACTTTCCTTTAAACATGACTTGAGTAGGACCTTGACTGGCACTGCGGTTACGTGGGCATATTGCTCCAATTATCTCTTGGCTATTGTGTTATCTGTCTCCCCTGAATTCACTTTGAGTTGGATGCAGCCATGGCAAACGAGGCATCCATTACGACTGACACTAGTGGTTATCACTTGAGCAAAGGTAGGGGAAATAAAAGTCAGGTTGCTGAAGGGGTGGCAAAGGGAAGCACACTGTCAGAAGATCCTCACAGACAAGCTGTTGATGTGTAGGCTGGATGAGCAGAAAGGTGCATAGTAAACTGGTTGAATGGCTGGGCCCAGAGGACGATGATCAGTGGCACAAAGTACAGTCAGAGACCAGTGATTGGTGATGTACCTCAGGAATCACCATTGGCTCCAGTCCTTCTTCACCACTGGTCTGGATGGTGGGCAGAGCATATCCTCAGCAAGTGTGCAGATTACACCAAACCAGCAGGAGGGGCTGATACATCAGAGGGCTGGGCTGCCATCAGGAGGGACATCAACATGTGGGAGGAATGGGCCTCATGAAGTTCAGCAAGGGGAAGTGCAAAGCCCTGCACCTGGGGACAACTCCAGGCACCAGTGCCTGCTGAAGACTGCCCAGCTGGGGAACAGCTTGGCAGGAAAGGATGTGCTGGTAGACACCAAGTTGACTATGAGCCACAAAGATGATGGGCTAGAGCATCTCTCCTGTGAGGAAAAGGCTGAGAGAGTTGGAACTGTTCAGCTGGGAGAAGGAAAGGCTCAGGGGGAATCTCATCAGTGCATAGAAATACCTGAAGGGAGGGTGCAGAGGATGGAGCCAGGATCCCTAAAGTGGCAGGACCAGAGGCAACGGGCACAAAATGAAACACAGAAGGTTCCCTTTGAACATCAGGAAACACTTTTTCACTGTGAGGGTGACCAAGCCCTAGCACAGGTTGTCCAGGGAGGCTGTGGAATCTCCATCCTTGGAGATACTCAAAAGCCATCTGGCCACAGTCTGGGGCAACCAAACCTAGGTATCCCTGCTTGACTAGAGGGTTAAACCAGATGACTTCCAGAGGTCCCTTTCAGCCTCAAATAGTCTTTAATTCCTCAAATTTTAATTAGAATAGCACAGACACAAAACAAATCTAGAAATACAAAAAGCTGTAGGTACAAAATCTGCTATATTTAATTAAAAAAAATCTATTCTGAGCAGTGGTTTTGGTTTTCCTTGTAGCATTGTTTTCTGTACGCTCATTACTTCCAGTTACTATTTTAAGTCTTACGGCAAAGACTTTTAAAAATTACATAGTTTGAGAGTAACTGGTGTAGAGAACCACACCAACTTTTCTACGTGGTCTAGAAAAAAACCATCAGATTTAAGACAATCTTTGATAATGCAGAACAGGAAAAAAAAACAAACACCAAAACCAAAACTGTAAGTTCCAATTGAAAACATCAGATAAATAGGATAACACAATTTGTCTTAAACAGGGACAACTCTGCTTCAAGTTGGCTGGATACAGGCTGCTCTGAGTGCTTGGTTCTCGATGTCAGGCCACTGAAATTTAAAATTATTTACATTATAGCCTAACATATACATACATATGAATATATTTTTATTAGTTACTCATATTTAAAAGAAAATATGACCCTAAGCTGACCCACTAGAATAATACATGAATGCAAAAAAGTGACTGGAGCCCTCAGAATTAAGCAGCAGATATTCATTCAACAGTGTATCTATGTTTCATTTCTCTGAATTTCACCTTCAATTAAAGACAAGCACAACGGAACACTTAAAAAGTTTTATCTGACCAGATTCAAAAGTTCAAGATTTTAGTCATCCCTATCCAGGACTTGATTTTTCTCCTACAGAAACACTTGAGATACTCAAATGTAAAATTTTCCTATCATGTTCATGGTTTACCTAATCACACCCATTGACTCACACAAAACTGTCAGAACTACAGAGGTTAACACTGTTTTTCACAAATTATATCCCTGACTGAAAAGGAAGAAGAGTTTCTACAAATGTATCTTTGCCCCTGTGTCTACCACCTGAAATATAAAATGGTGTGCCTTTATTAAAAGCAAACAAAAAGGGGAAGATGGCCCATCCTCCAAGCCAACATTCATAACATGATGTTGCTGCCTTTCACTGTCATTCCTACATATGTGTAAAAAAGTCCTACAATATGCATATTGCCACAGCCTGTCATATAGCATTCTTTAATTCCAATATTGTACAGGTCTTCTGCAACAAGAATTGTTAGAGCTGCTAGTCCTCCCAGGTAGCAGTATTTTAAATTTCAAATTAAGGAGTTATGGCACTGTCTTCCAAGATACAGAACCAGATAGGCAGATGAACCCATGCTGATAGAAAAGCAACTTGGAGAAACAAAGGGACTACCTCATGTTGTCTTTATCAAATACACACTGAGTGTATCAAATCCACTACTGATACCTCTGGAGAGAGATCAGACACAAAATGCCTCTGTACTATTTTCACTGCCAACTTCCAATTTCCATCATTTGCCTGTGAAGGATGTGAGGTTACCACTAACCCAGTCTAAGTTACTTCTCAAGCACAGGCTGATCCTGCAAACAGACAGTGAAATAACAGGCTTCTGTGTCATAGAAAAAAGAAAGTTTGAAATGTACGAAGTTCAAACCTATTGCCATTAACTGCTTTGATTTAATATACTTCATGTCTTTATCTGAACACTGGACAAACAGATTTTAGCAGTCTCTTCCCCTCACTGGTTATACGAGAACTCTCTAAGTTACAATGAGATATACAAAACTGAACAGCTGAATAGCTAAGTAAGTTGTTGTTTTGAAAGCACAGACAAGTTCAAACATTACTCACTTTAGATGAACAATGTTGGAATCATTTTACCCTTTTGATTAGAACTTCCTTACATCAGACGTTTCCATGAACTGTCCAAAACTGCCAGATAAGATAGCTACCCTTGCCTCCTCAAACAGCACTCACACACAGACACGACATCAAACAAAACGCACAGTTAAAACAGTGAACAAACTATTTTATTTTTCTTGCTAGATAAGAACATCCCATTGAAAATAAAGAATAAAAAATATATTTGGCTGTAACACTCTGAACGCTTGAATCTCATGCTATAGCACACAGAGAAATTCTGGTACAGCAACATCACAGTATTCCCTGTGCACATGGGTGCACACAAGACCTTGAACAAATATTTATACCCATAATAGTGCCATGTACAAAAATGTTATTCCATAAAGGCCAAACAGAAAATTTAAACGTCTTTGTTTTCTTTTATGCCAAGGGCAACGTAAAAAATGAAAACTGTTTTCAGTCAATTACTTCCACCTAAATTATATGAGATCTTTTTATGCTGAAGAACACAAATTCAGCATAATGAAGTGTGGAAGAAGTAGTATACAATTATATATATGTATAAACAATATACTGAACATGTGGGGCATGATGTTTTCCTTAATACATAATTGTTGGAGTATCCATACGGAAGTCAGTATTTTTCTAACACAAAGAGAAAATATTCTGTTTCTTCAATCAATGCTCTGACCTTTTCTCACTATAAAGAGCATGCCTGTATTATTCATCTGAGCACACATGCGCCACAAAAGATATGCAAAACAAATCGATATAGATAAACTTTAGTGTCAAATGTCTAATGATGTAATAACAAAAACAACTCTCAAAGTCCAAATGAACTTGCTGAATTAAAATTGCATTGCAGACACTTAAACTAACAAAGTACTTGGACATGTGAGTCACCAAATTCACTGTATTGCAGCAGTATCTCTGTTGAAACCTGATGAGTATCAGACTACTAGTAAAGCAAGGCATTTTCAAAAAAGGAATTTGTAAAAAATACATTTATACTATATGCTTTCATATAAAAAGGCATTAAGAAATATAACAAACCCTAGCATTTTAGGACTACACCTTCCCTAACAAACAGTTATCACTTCACTATTATATATGGTTTCACTATTACATTCAGTTTCCTACACAGAAAGTATATTTTCATCTCCCTGATGTATATTACAATTGCAGTGACAAACTGTTTTATTGTCACCACTCATTCTTGCAGCTTAAACAAACAGCACCAATTTTACCCCCCAAAAAAAGGTTTATCAGTTACATAGTAGCACTTCCTAACAGGAAATATAAAGCCAAAACATAGTAATCAAATGTGTCTTTCCAAAAATATATCAGAATATATGGCTCAGATTTAAGGGATGAATATTCAAGAGTATTGCATAGTACAGGGATCTCGCCTGTATGAATAAAGACACCTTTTGATTGTTTGTCACCTTCTGACTCCAAGAACAAATTAAACAGGTGCTAATGAAAGTAATACACAGCTACATTTACTGGTAAAAAAAAAACACCAAAACAAAACCAACAAAAAATTGTACAGTTCTCTCCAGCACAGTGCAAAGTACACATTAAAAAACTGAATATATATGTACACTGTGTATGTATTTTTATACATATATAGTACGTATTTCCCTGACACATACACATGTACATATAAAAAGCATGAACACACATATCCGTGCCAAACTGAGCAAAAATATGGAATGTTTAAGATGTGGATGTGTTGTTCCAGTGAAATCAGTTTGTCCCAGAAATGGCTGTTTATACAGCCAATATGCTGTTCCATGAAACAGAAATATTTATTTTATTGCCTGCATAAATTGACAATATACCATATATTTGTCCTTTTAACTTACTGAAGGACTGATAATCACACTCTATAAAAGCTTATATTTGTATTAAGCCCTCTCTTCCATAATCCTTTCTCTCTTCTGGAAGACCAGACAGAGTATTCACTACAGAGATGAGATCTTCTATTTTAAGTTTTTCTTGCAATACAAAAGTTTACAGCCACCACTGTAAAAACTTTAAACACCTGAACCTGGTTTATTTTATTATTTCCCTTTGGGATTCAGCTGTTTTGGTTCTGAATATGAACACATTGGCTGAAGCCTGTAACACAGAACACACTTCTCAGGATTCGGAGAGTGCTGTTACCCGACCTGCCCACACCCAGTATGATCAACTGTCCTTCCCTGCCAATGTTCTGAAACAGTTCACAAAAACACCAGAATATAACACAGATCCCTCCCCCTCCTTTTATCCCAAATGTCTTTTTTACATTTTCAGAGCACTTTCAAAAAATAAAGACTATTTATATCAGCAAAACAGTTTCAAACAAAGGCGATGGCTGTGAACCTGAGAGCTTAGTGTGACACAAACACACACATTTGTGGTACCCCCACTGTCTAGTACTTTCCTTGTTTAAGTCGTTCAATGTGGTAGCACAGCTTTAGGGCAGGCCCCAGCTTCAGTCCCATATATTTCACTATCATATCACTCCTGAGTAAGAGCAGTGCCTTCCCATCAATTTCCTGCAGAAGGAAGAGAATAAACACAATATATAACTTGAACAAGTTGCATGGTAAAACTGGAAAGTACATTATATTTCTTTATACTGTCATAAAAAAAATCTACCATATATAAACCAGTAACTTAACATAAATTTATATTTACAGATGATCACTGAAATTTAATTTATTTTAGTATTTTTTAATGTATGATTAAGGTATTTGAGTTGTTAAAGAAAGAAAAATATAGTAAATAAAAGGAACTGACCAAATAGCCCTCAAAATTAGGTACTGACTGGGAAGAAAAAAAGTGAGTGGGTCAAGGGGGAAAAAAGAAGCTGCAAAGGAAGGTCTGTGCAGTTAGAGATTAAATGATCCAAGCACTGAGGCCTTGCACTGAACCTTGAACACAGCTGTGGGAGGATTTTGGCATGTGCATGCAAACAGTCACACAGAGGAAGGGGTTATAGACCATCTAAATCTGTGAAATAAGACAGATCTATGTCCATGTCAAACCACAGAGATTATTAGGATCAAGACCAAGGACAATTTAGTCAGATTTTAACAGCCTGACTGAGAAGTTGCTGAAATATGACAGTCCTAAGTCTTAGTATCATTACATACTGTAGACAGGCAATTAGTTCCATAAAGCACCATAAAAGAGCACCATAAAGAGAACCACTTTTTCTTATTTTTTTAAACATAAACCTGACAAAACAAGTGATGTTTACTGTTGTTATACAACTAAGAATAAAACATAAGACAGGAATCTCCATTAAAAGTTATTTTAAGTTTTCCTTTCAATCCAGTTTACTCGGAGATTTAACTGTTAGTAGGAGCTGGTGCAGAACATGGTGAAACACTACTAAAGAGAAAGCCAACCTCTTTTTGGAGGGCCATATATATAATGAAGTAAGGAAATAGTTCTTTGCTGAGCAACATGCCATAGAAAAGCACTGCAAGAAGGTACTGTGGAGATCAAAACCATATCTCTAAAGATAACATCTAGTTAGATCTTATGAAATCCTGCACATTGTTTTTCCAAACAGGTGAATTCAACATTTCAATTGATTCTCTGAATTCTAGTATAAGTGACCAAGTGTTCTAGGTAACGAAGGATAACAGCATCTCTACTTCAGGACGTTAAATCTCTAAAACAGGGGTGCCAAATTCCCCGTACTGCACATGAGAATACCATCTTCTCTAGAGCTACCAGGGATGTTGGCCATTGGAACTTGGGTATTTCCAGTATTGGCATTATTTCATATATGCTGGAAAGCACCAACTATTTGCTTTAGTCTAACAAGACTGGAACACAGAGAAAATACACTGCAGGAGGAGTTTCAGGTGGAAAAATAATTTTCAGCCTCCCTCTAATATACAAGTAGAGTCTATTCTACCTTAAATTGTAAGTAGAGTGATAGACATGAAAGTTATGTTTTAAGAGATAAGCGTGACACACAATCTACTAGAAAGGAATGGATATGCATCATACATGTCTCCTAAAGAGTTCTGCATGTGGAGCCAGTGCCTGTGGATCAGCTTCTTTCACAAAGCGCACTACTTCCTCTATTGACCAGGTGGAAGGATCCTTATTCAATATTCTTGAAGGTTCCCTTTTTAGTGAATTCAAATCCGGTCCGGTTGTGGAACTTGCAGCTTTTAATATAAAAATATTGTGAAAGGAACAAGAATTACTTATCTGTACAGGGATAACATATTTCGTTTCACGTAAGACACTTCAATATTAACTTTTGGCTTTTATTATGCATTCTTTGCAATATATTAACACGAAAAGATGCTTTATTTTCCTTCTAATAATACCGAACTGTTTCTTTTGTATTTAAATGCCTTCTACAACTGCAAGTATTTACAGCAGCACAAACATTAGCACTGTGACATACCTAGAGGGATTAGTTTGACTGGTACTTGGCTGCTGGGTCCCAAGATGCTATTGACTGGGATTGTGGCAAAGTTAATTTAAGCTGTGCAGACAGAGGGAGAGACAGTAGGAAACCCTATCCCTGTATTTCAAGCAACATGGCAATAGCTGATAAGACGCTCAGGAAGTGGGATACATTTATCCCCTGTCTGGTCTGGCTTGCTGCAGGTTCTACAACAGCAGCAAGAGGAAGCTGCAGCAGGCAAGACCTGCCCCAGCCTGCATGGCACTATTAGTTCTAACAGGCTTAAGTTCTGCATTTGCAGTTATATTAGCAAGCCTGACATGCTTGGCAACAGCACGTTTCACTCCATATGCAAGCTTTCCTATGGCAAAGAAGTTCTTTATTCATAACTCTGTATGTTAGTAAGAGCAGTTATATACTTTGGAAGGTTTTGTATAATTGCATACCTTCAATCCGCCTCTGTATTCGATTCCTACTGACTTCACAGTAACTGCTGCTCCCAGCAGAGCTCAAGGACAGACTTCGCAGGATTGGGGCTGAATTTGAGGTAGCAGTTGCTGGTTGATGGGAATTTCTGTAATATGTAGCACTTCCTGTACGGTACTCCGTGGAATTTCGGCAGGTTGGGCTTGACGGATTCACAGAATTAAGTGCAGAATCCATTGAGTCCTCAGAAAATCGGTGTTCTTTGGAAATGCTGTTTTCCTCTATAGGCAAAGTTTCTGCTACACAAAAAGCAAATATCAATATGTTCAAAGTGATGGACATTACACCTTTGTTATTTAAGATCTTGCTATGTTCTCTTGACGATACTGACAGATTGTAAGCCTGTTAACAAATCTCCTGTGAGGCAATCACTGCTTTTGAAAGTTTGCCCCTTCTCTTAAAGTAATCAGTGGCCTCTTACTGTATTTTTAAAACACTTATTTTTGGTAGCAAAATATTTAATATGTCAAGTTTGAGACAGCCTTCCTTAAATCATTTCAGCTGTATTTACTGAATCCTATAAATAGGGAAGTTATAAAGGAATTTTTTTTATAAAATTGTCTAGTGTTAATACTGATACACCAAATAACTTTAGTCAAGAATTTTCGTTATTTTTTAAACATATTCTTAAAAAGCTAACCATTAATATTATGCAACAGTTATTTTGCAAGAAATTTTTAATACAAATTAAAAACTCATGCTAGCTAACAATTGTTTAAATTGTTCTAAACAGCAGAGGGAGTTCCTAACTTCATAAACAAAACAAGTGGACAATTGTTACCTATGGATCCCAAAAGGTTCAGACACAGGGGCCATTGTTAAAAAGGGAAGAGATTACAGGCAAAGTCAGAGAAGGCTGTCAGTGCCCTGTACAGCACAGTAATTAACACATTTTGACCACAGTCCTGTACCTACAGACACTTAGTTCTTTGCACAGGGAGGGGTCTCAGGGTCTGTAAGCGTAGACTTTGGAAGGCTAAAGGTACATGTAAGTTACTGAACACGTGGAACAACCAAAAAAAACCCAAAAAACAACAATATTGTAGTTCTTACAACTTATCAGCTAATTTCTACTTTGCAAAAGACAAACAACATCCACTCAGACGACTTGTGAATTTTTAGAGCCCATCAATATTCTTTCTAAGCCAGATCAGTGAAGTTCAGTCAGGTCCTTTCCCCTCTGTCATGAGACAGGAGCCAAGTTTGCTTGATTACTGAAAATTCCACTCCTGGTCAACCCCAGTTCAGGTCTGTTTGGGAGAAGCATGCTATGTGAGGGGAAGAAAAAATAAATCCTAAATCAACAAGACCACCACTCCATTCTCTATCAATCATACATACTCCTCTCTGTTTGCATCAGGCCAAGCAACAGCATCAGAATGAAGCTGGAACCACGATGTACAAATCTGTATGAAACAAATGCTGCTTTGGCAGGAGAGTTAAGAGCTGGAAAAACATAGCTAACAGGTTCACAGAAGTGTAAGCCCCCACTACCATCTTGAAAATTACTCTAGTGAAGTTATAAAACATATGCTAGCAAAGCAGTATATTCTTTGGAATAAGAACTGGTATATTCTGCAAAACAAGTTCATGAAATAAGCTTTTTAATACCCTTCTTATATGAAAATTTTCAAGAATTTCTTGGGTAAATCCCAATTAAAAATAAAGGAAGAGTATTTTCTGAAAAGAAACAGCAAGCTTCTTAAGCATGCTTTCAACTTCATTCGTGAAGTCTCAGGTTCTCTGTTGAATCCTGTTTAAAAGTAGAGTGCAATTAAGAACTGTTAAGTGTATTTTGGTCCTCAGCCAGCATAATGCTGAGAGGGAATAAAGGCATTCACAGAGCCAGCTCCCTACTTAGTGAATTCAGTAAGGCAAGATCAGAGAATCACAGAATAGAATCACAGAATCATTTAGTTCGGAAAAGACCACTAAGACCATCAAGTCCTACCATTAACCCAGCACTACCGTGTTCACCACAAAACCAAGTCCCTGAATGCCACATCTACATGCCTTTTAAATACCTCCAGGGATGGTGACACAGCCTGGGGTAGCCTATTCTGATGCTTGACAACCCTTTTAGTGAAGAAATTTTTCCTAATATTCAATCTAAACTTCTCCATGTGCAACTTGAGGCCATTTTCTCTCATCCTCTCTCTTGTTACCTGGGAGAAGATAGCAATCCCCACCTCCCTACAACCTTCCTTCACATAGCTGAAGACAATGAAAAGGTACAAGTGGCTCTGTGAGCGCTTCCACCAGCTCCCTCAGTTCCCTGGGTACATCCCATATGGCCCCATAGGCTTGTGCATGTCTTAAGTGGTGTATCAGGTCACTGACCTCAGTCCAATTTCCCACTGGATTATAGAATCATAGAACTGTTTAGGTTGAAACTGTTTAGATTGAATCACAGAATTGTTTAGGTTGTTGCTGTCTTCCAGCTCAGGAAGGTTGTCCAGCTGTCTTCCACGAGGCTAGATACATGGAAAACAACTGCTCTTAATATTAAAGACCAAGGCAAAGGAGATATGAAGTACTTCAGCCTTTTCCTCAAGCTTTGTCACTCTGTTTCCCTCTACATACAATCCTTTGATTGATGAGAAAAATAAGAAAAAAATTTTCTTGTCTTTTAAGGCAATAGCCAGGTGAAGTTTTGTCTGGGCTTTGCCCTTTCTAATTTTCTCCTTGAATAACCTCACAGCATCCTTGCAGTCCTTCTAACTTTCCTACCCCTTCTTCCATAGATCATAAACTCTCCTTTTTTCCTGAGTTCATGCCAAAGTTTATGTTCAGCCAGGCCAGTCTTCTTGCAGCATTTGTCTTTCAGCATTTGAAGACAGCCTGCTCCTGCACCTTTAAGATTTCCATCTTAAAGAGTGCCCAGCCTTCCTGGACTCCTTATCTAAGAGACAGTATAACATTGTTTACTAAATTCAATAGTAGTGGAATAAAAAATCTTTTATGGACACAAGTCCTTCTCTTTCATATAAGTAATTCTAAAATAACCACTGCAAAACTTTATAGTTTGCCAAACTTAAATCACAAAAGTAAAGAAGAAGCTACTAAGATTTTCAAAGAAACAGGAAAATTAACTCATATTTCTCAGAAGTATTTGCAGTAACTTATAAAAATTAAAATCAAAAGCTATCATTCCATAGAATTTCAGAAAGATTTTAAGAGATGTAGTCAATGATGAGCACTATAAAATTAAAAGGTAGGCAACCAAGGGAAAATTAGAGCTGTAGAGAATGAAACCACTAACAGGCATCTCAGTCCAAAGCCAAAAGGCAGAGGTGATGCTTTAAACAGTTACAGCAAAGTTATTTTTGTAGTTTTCATAGTCAACAAGCAGAAGTCCAAACATAGGATTTTTTTTGAAAAATAATTGTTTCACATAATCCTTGTCAAGATTTCTGAAGACAAAAAGATTTAAAAAAATTGACTGTATTACAAAAGATTTTAATTGTATTTATTTCAATTACATCCCAGATTTCTTTCTGATGTTTTATACCCTAAAGCAAACAATAGTAAATAGGTTTGGGAAAGATCAATGCTGCTTTTTTGCCCTATGATACTGATACTCGCAAATGCGAATTTATCTTACTATAAATTCTCACATATACAATGTGGGAGAGGTGGCATATTTCCCATCATTTTTTAGGGAAGGCATTCAGCAACTATAGTGTCCAATCCACTTTCCATTCCATCCATCTAGCTGCTCTACAAACGTCCAGCAAATGGAGCTTTGCAATCCACAGTGACACATTCCTCCTGCCTCGACGTTTTGAGCAGTTGTGAGTAACAGTGCTATGGAAAGAGATGGGAGGTTCCACTGCAGGATGCCTGATCTCTGCACAGATTATTAAAAGGCCAATAAGAGGCCTTATGTTTCAAATGTAAGGATGACAGTATACTGTTTAAGCACTGAAGGCCTTAGCAGGAATTGGATGTCTTGTTTTCTTGAAGTTCTTCTGGGAATTAGAAGCCAGTTGTTCTGTCTCATACACAACAAAATGATGCAATCAGACACAGTAGTAAGAACACTCTGATTTCAGGGGAAGAGAGTCTGAGTCATTCCCCACTCCCTCCTCCTTTATCTTTCATAACTTAAAGAAGAAATGGTTAGTGAGCAAGAAAGGCAGTAAAATCCGCAAAACATATCCCCGAGCAGATCAGAAGGAAAACAAGCTGTTTGAAAGACCCGTTTCCCACAATTATTCCATTTCACCTTCAAATGATTTTTCAAAACAACTATTTTAAGACAACATCAATGGAACAAGAACTTTTTGGGGGCAGATCTTTCTTGCTAACCAACCCATGACTGACCGCTACAAAATTGCCTCCAGATTTTCAGCAGAGGACATTGCCCTAATGGGAAACACACAACACTAGAAAGCACTCTGCCTCTTGAAACGCAGAGAGTACAAATTCAAACATTTGAAACCACGGAAAAACACTTATTTTAATTATTTTTTTATCCAAGTAACTGCATTTTACAATGAAGTACTGATCTTGAAACATATTTTAGACTTCCTCTGTAAAAGAGATTCACTAGCAAACAAGGATTAAAAAGCAGAATGTGCACTCATGTTTACTTTGAGAAAGATTTCTAGCAAGATAATGTAGATCTACTTAAAACATTTGTTTTGCTTCAAATGAAACAACTTCATTTGAGCATAATTAAGTGCTCCACACTTATTATGTTACCTACCAGAAATATCTGACTTAGGTGTACAATGTATCTCTGGAATTAAGTCAGTGCTTCTTTTGGAAAGACACAGAAATCAATAATCAATGCAGAACTGTATATAATAACAGCTGCAGGAAATACAAAGATGTGAATATGCTACATATATACAAAATAATAAGACGTACAATTTTAAATAAGCTATCATTTGGAACATTTTAATTTTATATCCTTTTCTGCTTTAACTGTAGTGTTATGACTTTTTAATTTGCACAGAAGAGATTATTCTGTCCCCACTCATGCTGATAGATACAAAATCACTTCAGGATCACAGAAAAAAAGGGGAAAAGAAAAAAAAAGAAGAAAAATAACTAATCCCCATCATATTTGAAAAAAGTCTTTGGAAATGATGTGCAAATATCTTGTAGTGAGAAAAAGTATGTATCAGATGGGATGAGTCAATATCATCAATTTACCATGGCTTAATGAGTTGAAGTAGTAAATACAGAGTAAAAAAACATTTTGCTCTGTCTCTCTCCCTGAGGTTTAAACCTAGAAGCTTTACTTCACTTCTGAGGCAGACTAAAACTAGACATGCTCATTTACTGCAGCTGAACTGCAGCACAGGAAAAAAAGTGCTATTTATTAGTGAACAACATCAACCTAACAGTCAGCTGCCACAGGGAGACTACGCCACTACCCTGGCCACGGCTGCCTTGGATTCAACCCTTCCCTGTGATCACCTGAGTCCACAATGAATCACTCCAGGGAAGTAAACTGCAAGACTCTTAACCAGAATGTTTTCTGTGCTTTTGTTCAATGGTTCAGTTCACTAACCAGCCAGGGAGAGGGAGTAGGGGTGGGCTAGGACTCAATGAAGGCACAGGGAGGCAAGGAAAGCAGGAGCAGCACAACTTTCACAGGCAGGTAGCCATAAACTCTGCTAAATTGTATAATCAAGCTGCACTCTTACTCACTTAATGACTCCTGCCTAGAGTTAAGAGTTGCTTCCAATTTATATCCTAACCCATTTCAAGGCAATTGGTTTTCAGCCATACACGAAGCAGGAGGCTTCATCTGTCACCTATGTGTCTGAGCCCCTTCGCAGAAAAGGCTGTGGGTTTAGGAGAAGCACTGCTGTGACTTGCAGTAGATCTTCCCTAAGTGCAAAATCTGTGCCAGTGATCAATAATTAACATACTTTCACCCTGACCTGTCAAAGGCTAGAGACAAACCAGACACATATGTTGTACTCAGTCCTTTTTGACTGGAAATACTGAAACCATAAATAATCCTCATATATAATCCCGACATAATGTAATTACCTTCAGATGGATGAGCATCGTTTCTGGGAAGCTTAGGGGAAAGAGGAGCAGTATATGGTGGAGAGTCCTTAGAGTATCGCTTAGCACTCCTGTTTTCAGGTATTTCTTCTTTGGCTGTGAGGAGGAAAGTCACCATGTATTATTCCAGCATAAAGCTGCTCATGGGCAAAGTCCAGGGACAAAAGCAAAGACAGACATCAGCCACTCACCAGGTTACTTGTGTCACACAGCCTCAGTCATTTCAACACGAGCTTTCTAAGTTGAATTACCTTGACCCTGTCTACTTACTTTTCTGAAAAGAGTTAAAACTAATGACTTTCACATGAAAGGATAATAAACATAATTTCTCCTTTGGAAAGATGAAATCCATGTTTTCCAAAGCAGCACCCAGAAAACAGACTCAACTATCAGACAGCTGAGAGGAAGCTTCACCGTATGAATCTCCTGAAATTGCCCTGACAACAAGGCTATCTCAGCTACGATTTCTGGTGACTCTTGACCTGGGACTTGTAATACCACGTCCTGCAAACAATCTGTTGGGACATCTTGGGCAAGTCATTTCCTCTTCCCTTCACTCTGTGTTCATGGTGCAGCAAAGACATTGGACTCATGCAAAATTTCACAAGCAGCCACCTGCAAAATCCACCTTTTCTTCTAGAACACTGGACTGTACATAGCAGAAGGTAAAATTTTTTGGAGTCACCACTAAGTAAGGTGAATAAAGAGAAAAGAAAGGACCTTTTGCTGATGTTGGAAGGGTTAGACTAAACTGCCTTTCAGGGCAAGCCCCTTCTCATAGGTAGCAAATATCTTTAAGTTTATTTTATGATCCAAACATAATTTTTAACAAATAAAATGTGAAGTTCTGAGCTCATCTTTTTAGTAGTATCACAGTGGTAAAGTACATACATTTTCTGACTTGCCTACAAGGAGGAGTTTGCTGAACAAAATTATTTATGCTCGTGTGGTATGAGCTATCCCTTACTGTCAAAGCACTACCACAGTGGAACCAATCCACTAAGAACTGAAGTATATTCATTTAAAGCCATTCACATCATAGAAAGACAGACTAAAAACCTGCATTTCATAAAATTCACCACATTTCTCAAAAATACCAGCACTTGAAAGTAGCAAGTGATTAACAGTACCTGGCTTGTTCCTATCATACTCCATAGGACTATGTGCACATCCCATGTAAGGGCTGAAAGGCTGGCTACTGAAGAGATTATCACACTGCAGGCTGTGGCAGAGCTTCTCCAAGAAGCGCAGGACAAATGATGCACTGTTTACAGAAGGAAGATTGATGGCATGCTTTTCCCCATCAAATGAAGCTGTGAATAAGAAGATTATGTCACACCCCAAGCATCATGAAGTATAGTAAAATACCATCATTAACTTAAAGGAGAAGACATCCATTTTTGATTTAAACTATACAAGACATGAGAGGAGTAAATAATCATTCTAATAGTTTAAAAAATTAGCATCCAAAGGACTGATTTTACCTTCCATTGGATCCATGTCAGTTTAAATTTGCTCCATAGGAACTGATTTTAATAAAATAATTTGGGATTCACACCAGTATAACAAAACTTGCAGCTATTCCCTCACCACAAAAACCTTGTGTAATTTCCACTGTTTGTTTATAAAACAGTAAGCTTTCCACAACCTATTTGCAGGAGGTAGCACACAAAAGATCCTTTAAAATACTTGGTAAAAACAAAAAAAAGCCCAAGCAATTATTTTTTAAAAAAAGAAGGAATGAAACAAACAATTTCTAACTGTACGGAGCATACTTCTGTTAATTTGCTGTCATCCATTACCACTGAAATTTTGACTACAGAAGCGTTTTGCCATTTATTTAGTCACTAGAGAAATCTATCCTGCTGTCAGCACTACAGTGGTCAAGCTCCTACTTATTTCAACAGAAGCTAGGTGGCAGAGATATCACAACAGCCACAAAAGAATCTGTAGTCTTTTAAACTGAGTGATTACAAAGAGCCTGGACATGTGCCTGTGTCTTTTCCTGGTTGATCTCCTTCCTTGCCCCTCAAACACCGTATGGCAGCTGATTTTTTTTTTTGGTACAAATTAGTAAGGTTTTGAAAAGGCTCAATACTACCAATATATAAATGAATAATTACCATTACATCAGCTGAAACTTTTAGTTACTTCTGATTAGAAAGACTTCACAACAAAGCAGGAACAAACTTGTAACTTAAGCTAAGGGCTGAAAAGAAGTGGTAATGAACACCAGGTTTATGCATCAATTTGTCTTCTTGGTTTTCAGCCTGTCATGCAGTTTCTGTTGTTAACATAAGTTTCCAAATGATAAGCAGAGCTTTAAAGGATCACATTTTGTCGGTAGCAGATGCATTAAAAAAAAAAAAAAAAAAAAAAGCCAGAAATGACATGAAAGCCTTTATTCACAGATCTGAATTAAGGAATATTTCCATATCGTATTGCAAAAGAGACAGATAATATACACAAAACCAAAGAAAATGCCCAAGCCTAGCATATTTTAGGCTTCCTTAGGAAATCTGAAGTGTCAATTACTTACACTGTTGATGTAAGGAAGCTTCTGATTACAGTTAATGCAAGTTAACCAGCTAGCATCAACAACAACGTGCTCCCTCTCCCATCTGCTTTCGTGACAGACTGACCAATGCAAGTGCTTGAAGTTTAAGAGTCAGTACTAGAGGACCAAAGTGTTTCCATGGCCTGTTCGATTTTTCCAGGCTCCAACGTTCAAATGAAATGCTAATGATTAACAGTCCCACAGTGGTTCAGACACAAGGTCCTCTACATCCTGTTTGGGGAAGGGGTCTCCAAAGGCAAATTTTTGCTTGGAACTCAACCAGTTCTGGAGAGCAAATGGGCTGTGAGACCTAGCACAGCCTGACCTCCTGACAAATTTACTGCAAGGTAGTAGTCAGCTACAGCAGAAATTTAAAATGCTTTATGACAGCTTTATAGATCTTCCTATACGACTTTGGGGAAATGATTTATTCTATACCCCTTAATTTCTCATTTTGAAAAGAAGTATTGAAAAGAACAATGTTATTTAAAAGTTGTCAGGAGGATAAAGCAAGAAACAGCTGAGGCATTGTGACTGCCCCAGCAAAACATTTCATGGGGAAAATCCACAAATAAAGATTCAGTGCAAACACACTTCCCCTGGACTCTGAACACCTAAGGGCAACCATAAAAACTCCAGCCAAGGGTGTGAGATCCAGATCCACAGGCTCAACTGTCTGCTCTGCTTGGGACAATATGAGCATCTTTCTTCCCAGATAAATGTTAGGGGAAAAAAATTAAAATGAGTACTTCTGAGGTACAATAACCTCAACCTTTAACGATATATGAACAGGGACTGGAGCTTGTGTGTGCAATCCCAGCCCCCAGTAGTCATACTCATTTCTTTACCTTTCACTGTATGTGTTTTAAACACATACATGGTTCAAGCCAGGAGAAAGACTGATAGAGAAACTATCAGAGAAATGTGTTTTTCTGATAGTGATAAAACTTATCCAAGAGTCTGATTTTAATTCTCTCTTCAGAAAATTCATCTGAGCCTCAATCTATTTCATCCCACCAAGCACTGTAGTGTTTACAGGGAGAAAAAAGGGGCTGACACCACCACCATAGTGGGCTTGCTAATCAAGCTTTTAATTTCCTTTCAGTTATATTTGCCTGAATTGAAACCTTATGCATCAAGCAAAAATAAAAGGGTTTGTGCCTTTGTTTGAGTAAGAAAAGACGGAAAAATCCTAAATTCAATTTTATTCAAAACCATTAATTTCCTTGGCAGCTGAACCAAAAGAACCCCCTAATTATTCCACAAATTCTAGCAAGATTATTTTATCCATGTCCCCATCAGCACACTTTCCTCCAACGGCAGGTATAAAACTTGCCATGAAAGCATCAGTTCTCTAAAAGATTTTCTTATTGTCTGCTGCAACATCCTTTTTTCTTGTCAGTTTAAAAAAAAAAACCCAAACAAAATGTGAACAACAAACCACCCTCCAAAACCACTTTAAATCAAGAAAAGCTACAAGCAAACACTCTTACAATCTCATTCTGTAATTCCTTATTTTATTCTACTGTTGCTTTCCTTGTATTCCTTACTTCATGTGCACAGATATCTGAAATGTGCTACATTAATTTAACTCATATTTTGTGGTACGCAAAATATATCACACACAAATTTTTGATACAGTGACAGGGAGTGTTTGCTCACCTGCTTCTCAGCAACCTGTTTGACAAGCCAATGAGAAGGCAAGAGCCCAAGAACACCAGAAACCCGCTGGGGTCTTGTGGCTCACTGTCACCTGGACCAGGACTCCACTTCAGGAGCAGTCTACATCACCAGGTTCCTCAAGTACAGGGCTGCAGAGCTGATTTCTCTGAATATAGGCCTTAGGGTGAAGCCAGATACAGAAAAATACTTCCTTTTTGTACAGGATTTTTGAATGAAAACCACAACTACATGAGAAATCTGAAATTTCTTTCTCCTATTTGAAATAATTATTTTCAAATACTCAGTCACAGCCCAGAGTCACCACTGGCTTATGATTTAGTCCTTCATGATAAGCAATCACAAATAGAATATTGGCAATTAACAGCTCGGTCCATTTTGCTGTAGAAAATTGACTTGTCTGAATTAGGCACAACAAGGTGTTAATAATATAACAAACTTTCAAACATACTGCAAAAATAAAGCAGTAGCAGTTTCAAAACCACACATATACAATGACATTAAACCTTTCCTACACAGCTGAGAAGCAGCATCCATTTTGTGAACAAACTCATGGGGATGTCTAAGCAAGATTACTGTAGTTCTGCTGTACACAGGTTGGAGTGCTGCTCTTTAAATACTGTTACGCAGCAACATCTTTATGAGTATTTAATTTAATCTCTATTCCACTAATCATCTTTCACATCTGGTGTTAATCTAAAGAGATTAGAGTAATACAAAGTCTTTTTATCACCAGTGTTGGAATTATGAATTGATGTGCTAACTGCTATATGGAATATTTCCTAGCCTAGAAGGAAAAAAATGTCAAGAGCAGTTATTCAGTTTGAGATATAAAGATAATTTATCTACAGACCTGCCACCAAAATGTAATAGAAATAAACCTGTTCCATAACAGGGGACACAGGTGGATGAAGATCCTGCTACAGTTCTCGGGAAGGGGGTAAGGGAAGCAGCAGCAACTTTAACATATGGAATCACTTGCCTGGAAGCTAAACAGATTAGTTTGAGACTTGTCACCCACTCGGTTAATGCATTAAGAACACAAACACCAAGTATGGATAAGATTATGCAAATGATTTGAATTAATAAAGCAGATTATTTCACTTGTACTGAGTTTACTTGACAAATGTTTTGCTACTGCTGCTAAATGAGGTGCACAAGCTCTGCTTAGTATAAGTACCTAACTGTACTATGCATATGGAATTTAACATCGCTATTGTTAAATTCTAATTTAAAGAATTGTTCAAATCACTCTGAACCCAGAGTGAGACAAATCACTCACCACCCATGGTAAAGGAGTTCACAAGTATATGTTCTTGCTTGTGTTGACATAGTTACAAAAGTGATATAAATTCATTGCAGCGACTTCAGTTCTTCTGCCCTATGTCAAGTTCACAACCAAGTGAAGAAACAGAAGAAACCAAGCATCTTCACATACCAGTTATCATTTCCCCTCCATGATGGCCAGATTTCAGAAATCCAAAGACTGTTTTGGCTTGATAGGCACAATCCACACAAGCCTGTACAGCCTGCTGAAGCACCACATTGACAGGACCTGGTCCAAAGTGGTCTGGAAGCTGCTGAACCTTCTTCTTATCCAGGTGAGGCCCAGAATTTCCATGTTTGTTGACATAAACACACACTGAAAAGGTACAAGCCACATTTACTGTCAAGAAACCAAGACGTGTTTCCAAGTTAGAATTGCAAAGTGTCATTTTAGTTTTAATCTTGAGGAAAAGATGTGCCGGTCAACTCAAGAAACTGAATGTGCACATGTACTTTCAGAGCACGTATAAAGTGCTCTTCTACCAAGCTTCTCCTGCCTCAGTCCTAAACCCACTTTTTCTTCCTGTTCTCTGAAGCCCTTCTCTACCTCACTAATGTAACAAGACTTGTATTTTGACTATCTCTGCTCATACACTCGTTCCAATAAAGTACAAATTACTGGCAGGTACTCTAAACTACCAAGATAGAATTCTAAAAAGCTGGTCTTACCAAGTTACTGCCTACATTTTCTTCTGTTTAAGAAGCCACAACAAAGAGAACCCTATGTTACATACCCACCCACCCAGAATGATGCTCATTCTGAAGCACCCACGTGGCACTAACATATACAGGCACACAGGGCCATCATACACACACAGTGGTTACTGAAGGCCTGGACCTTCAGAAGATCCAAACTCCTCACATATGATTTCCACATTGCAACATGGCCTTCTCTGCTAAATAAAATAAACACTTCTCTAGAAACACTGTAAGGTGGTTTAAACCTGAGCACAAAACAACCATGTAGGACTTTTGAAATTACTTTTTAAAGAGACAACGTGAAATTGTCTTCCAAGGAGACTGTCAAGCCAGAAAAACATGGGAAAAAGATGTAACTGATAATTTTTTTTCTTGTTCACCCTCACTATCACATGACAAAAAATGTACCCAAGACCTTATTATAGCTTAATAAAGACAGAAATGTGCCTCTGTGGTGATTAAACAATCTAAACATTCTATTACACAAAAGACTGACATTTTCTGAATTGTAGTATGACTTGTACTTAGATAAAAACCTGGACTTTTAAAATTGAAGTAATTTCCACAAGAGTCCTCATGCATCTGTTTACTCTCTGATGTCTGCAAATTGGAGGAAACGTATTTGTACAAATAATCAAAGCTACAAATCAACAAAAATAGTTTCTATAGCATCTTCTGTCTGAGTTCAACAACAACTGCCTTCCAAAAGGTTTATTTTCTTAAGAAAAAAGTACATGTTTTCCCCTCATCCACGACTGAAATTGGGAGTGAGAAGAGCCTGACAACTCCAATTGTAAAAACAGGTTTTGAATGTAAAAAGGCATCCAAACAAAATTAGCATAATTTATGGAGTTTTTAGAAAGTTCTGATATTTCAGATGACAACACACAAATTGTTTTACTACAGAGTTACCAGTTCCTCAATGGGTTAGTTCATTTACTAACTTATTTCTTTTCTGCCAACTCTTTTCAAGATGCATTTCATTACATTTAAAAGGAAAAAAAAAGGCAAACATGAGGAAAGAGGAATGTATTCCCTCTGATTGCCTTTACTGGGTTTTAACAGAGTTGTTTCTTTTCATGTACAGCTATACAGAGATAAAATCTCCATTTGGTTATATTACAGTACAGCCTGCATGATATCAGAATATCATAGTTACATCTATTCCCCTTTCATACATTAGGCAGTGGGACAGACATGAAAGAACTGTACAGTTTCCTTCTTCAGACAGGAATGAAATGCCAGGTCTAGCAGATCTATCAAAAGCCCCTGTTCCCCAGCACTTACTGCTGTAATGCAGGAATCAAAATACTAGTTCTGTAAACGAACTCTGGTTCCTACAAATATCTTTAAAAAATAAGGCAGCTGGAAAATGATTTACAGTAATAAGTTTGCAGCACATTTGCCATAAAATGACACTATTATTTTCCTTGACATGGAAGCCATTTCAAACATTTTTTTCTTTGTCTTTTACCTGTGGATATAACTGCTGCAGTCGCACCAGACAAACTAATTCCATCTTTATATATCTGTGTAGTGCCATTGTTCTCCTCAGGAGATGATTGAGGAGAAGGAGATGCAGGAGTTGGTTGTTCTGGCAAGATTTTTTTCTGTTTAGAGAAAAAAAACAAAGTCAAAATGTTTAATGCTTTTTAAGGAGTCTGCAAAACCTTTCTGCTATCAGTTACCATCTTAATGGATCTGTGTGGTTCCTTATTACACAGGTATCACACATAGCAGAGAAGGTAAAGTTCAGGAAAAGAAGACCAGAAACTGCCAGTTTGCATTTACAGCTACTTTAGTAACGCAGTAGAAGATAAACAACTTATAAAAGAAACCTACCTTTATCTAAAAAGTGGGAAAATAGCAAGCCTTCTATACAAATTCATGGACTTTAAGTGTTACAAAGCATGGAAGAGGTGTTTTGGATTACTTCCCTGTCCATGCCCTTCCAATCACCTGGGTTTATCACAGTTCAAGTAAGTTAGTTGGGCTGTATATATATTGTCATAAAAAACCTGAGTCACATCTGAACATCAACATCAAGGTGCACATCTATTTTCCCTCAGCTTGTTCTGAAGGAGTTGGAATTCTCAAATAACCACTTTGAGGAACTGGTGCTTCATGCAAGATATCAAATAAACTTGTCATTACAACCCAGTCATGTTGCTGCCAAAACCTTTCCCTTTCCCAAACCAAACTTATTTGAAGTTTATCATATGAAAGACAACCACAGTTTGCAGCATAGAGATTTCAAAATTGGTCAGTGTGCATTATCTTTTCCACCTGAGAAAAGGAGAATTTTGTTGTAATTTGGTTTGGACTGGGGTTTAGAAAAGAGATGCGCACAAGGAAGACCTTTTTAATGTGTTTTGACATACTATGAAAATACATGGAAATTAAAGAAAGAATAAATTGGAGTTGATCACTTCTCCTGTCACTACTTATTCTCACATGAGAACAGATTAAATTCTCATTCTCTCACCTAGTAAATATTAAGAATATAAGATATTATTTAAGGTCTTGACACTGCTGATGGCAGCAGAGACTTGTGGTCATGTGATAAGGGTTTACTGTTAAAACTGATAAATAGTAAAAATTCAGTCAAGTCCCTAAGGGAGGATAAACCCTCTTCTATTTAGCAGTTTTCATCCTCCACACTTTTAAAAGCAGCATATTTTCCAAATAATGTATTAAAAACAATGTAGAAAGCAATCAAAATATATACTTTCCTAAAAAAAGCAGTGCTTAACTTCTTCACAACATCTGTAAAGAATAAATTAACTTCCTCCTGAAATCCAGGGCACTTTAAAGAAAAATTCTGGTCCCCTTACGGTTCAGAGAGGATAGGTTTCACTGGAGAAAGTGCTTGACAATATGGCACTGGTGGAATCACCATGAACATAAGGAATAGACTGCCAAGGTTTGGCACTGCATTGTGAATGAGATGAGATGAGGGTTAGACGCAGAACCAAGTAGTGATGTATTACATGTCAGGAATTGCCAGGAATCTTAACCCTGGGTGACAGAAAGGTCTCTCTCTATCCTTAATACAGAGAACTAAAAGGGACTTGGGGAAGACTGAGCTTTTAATCTGAAATCTAATATTCCTGAAGGCCCCTGGAGCAAGGGCAGCAGTTGTCCGTCACCACACTGGAAATTATGGGTGGTCAAGTCAAGGAGAATGATGAGGTAATGGGGAAAAATGTAGCCATGAAAACAAAATACAAAACTAAACTAAGAGGAACCATCCGCTCTCCGCACTAACACACAAGTGTGGTGCAGCCAGCCGGACATTTCCTACCTTCTCCCTCTGAAGTAAACAGCACGTTACGCTTGCTCAGCTGAGGCTCTCAGTTTGTGTCCCACACTGAGAAGCAGTGAGCTGTGAGCCCAAAGCCATTGTGTTTCACAAGGTGGGCCATGTTCCCAGCAGGGCTCAGCACGTTTCCTTGGTCTGGCTGTCGCTGGCTGGCTCTTGCCAGTCCTGTCTGCATGCACAGAGCATTGCTCACAGTCTGGTACCACTGGGCCAACTTCACTGGCTTTACCCTGACACTTAAAAACTCCTTTTTTGTGGGGTTGAATTTAGGGCTGTTACGCACACTCAGACCGAGGTGTTTCCTCAAGAAATTCTGAAAGGAATTCTCTGCACTGTTATGTGAAATGTACTTTTAAAATATAATGAAAGAGATGTAAAGAGGTTTCTTCTTCATTATGACAGAGTAAAAACACACAGTGCAAACTGTGAGAAACAAATGGAAAACAAAATCCAGCATGCATCTCATGCTTGCTGGAAAGCTTAGGAAAAAATTTAAATAAAGGAGAAAAATGACGCAAGAGCTCAACATTCCTAGCTGTACAATAAAAGTTAATATCTGCACAATGATAAACATTGCAGCACAACAAGCCTAGAAGAGCAAAGAAATTCAAACAACTCTACAGAGTAACAGGCATAGACCAATCTCCCTAAACACAGAGGTTTTGAACTACCACACAGTCAGCTCACACTTGAAGCACAATTATTCAGTCTAAAATCTGGAGGAGTTTTTTTTGATCAGTCTTTGGGGAAAAGAAAGAAAGAAAAAGAAAGAAAGAAAAAGAAAGAAAGAAAAAGAAAGAAAGAAAGAGAAAGAAAGAAAAAGAAAGAAAGAAAGAGAAAGAAAGAAAGAGAAAGAAAGAAAGAGAAAGAAAGAAAGAGAAAGAAAGAAAAAGAAAGAAGGAAAGAGAAAGAAGGAAAGAGAAAGAAGGAAAAAGAAAGAAGGAAAAAGAAAGAAGGAAAAAGAAAGAAGGAAAAAGAAGAAGGAAGAGAAAGAAGGAAAGAGAAAGAAGGAAAGAAAAAGAAGGAAAGAAAAAGAAGGAAAGAAAAAGAAGGAAAGAAAAAGAAGGAAAGAAAAAGAAGGAAAGAAAAAGAAGGAAAGAAAAAGAAGGAAAGAAAAAGAAGGAAAGAAAAAGAAGGAAAGAGAAAGAAGGAAAGAAAAAGAAGGAAAAAGAAAGAAGGAAAAAAGAAAGAAAGGAAAAAGAAAAGAAGGAAAGAAAAAGAGAAGGAAAAGAAAAAGAAGGAAAGAAGGAAAGAAAGAAGGAAAGAAGGAAAAAGAAAGAAGGAAAAAGAAAGAAGGAAAAAGAAAGAAGGAAAAAGAAAGAAGGAAAAAGAAAGAAAGAAAAAGAAAGAAAGAAAAAGAAAGAAAGAAAAAGAAAGAAAGAAAAAGAAAGAAAGAAAAAGAAAGAAAGAAAAAGAAAGAAAGAAAAAGAAAGAAAGAAAAAGAAAGAAAGAAAAAGAAAGAAAGAAAAAGAAGGAAAGAAAAAGGAAAGAAAAGAAAAAGAAAGAAAGAAAAGAAAGAAAAGAAAGAAGGAAAGAAAAAGAAGGAAAGAAAAAGAAGGAAAGAAAAAGAAGGAAAGAAAAAGAAGGAAAGAAAAAGAAAGAAAGAAAAAGAAGGAAAGAAAAAGAAAGAAGAAAAAAAAGAAAAAAAGCATTTTCAAATCTCTAGGCACATACCATTTGCATATGTCCTGTGAGGTTGTATGGCACTCCATGTCAGATACACCTCGTCTGTGCACAATTCCCACAAAGCTCCATTTCCCCTTTTGCCCTTATGCTAACAGGTGTAATAGTCCAAAGAAAAGCTTGTACATATGTATAACATCTTGGCAATTTAGCCATGTACCAAAGCAATAACAACCTTCTGTGAATTCTCAAAAGGAGCTAATTTTTCAAGCTTTTAATGCAAAAGTTAATGTAGTAAAACTCCCAAATTAGATACATCAAACTTAGATTTTGCAAAACTAACTCTGTTGCCTGGTCCCACAGAGGAAATCAGCAGTGCACAGATTTCACTATGCACTGCCCCAAGACAGGGAGTGTCAGCAGTAACCCCCATTCTCCATCAGTTCCCCTCAAGTACCTCACACAGACCAGGTGTCAAATGCAGTGCTCCAAACAGACACTTTCAGACATCCAGTGTTTCTAAACTAAAGAGGCCCAGAAGCCTCTTCTAAGGTTTCTATTCTAAGATACCTCCCAACTATTGTTTCAAAAGACAGATAAAGCCTCTCAACTTCTTTTTAATGAGAGAACAAAACTCATACATGAAAGTGAGCATCCCGCCATACCTGAGTAAGGCCTTAAGATTTGACAGTCCTGTGTTCAATGCTGTACTTTAAAACCTCCCCAGACTTGTGGAGAACACCCCACCCACTAGCTAAGGCTGGATGAGAGCACCTTTCTCCACTTTGATCTGTGTCTCTGTGCACTTTTATACACCAAGTAAGAGATAAACAAAACTGGAGACCAATCCCATCAGTTGCCTACCAGTTTGGATGTCCAACTGGGAGGGGCAGGCAGCACAGAAGACAGTGCTCAGTTTTCGATTTCTGGTCCCCAAGATCATTTCTTATCTTGTGGTCATCATTTCAACAAAGTGCTGCTTCCAGTTTTATACTAGAGAGTTCTGGTAATGCTCTAATAATGTTACTTCACTAACACTTTACACTGATCAGCACTGTCACTGAAGGGAGAATTCCCACCTGTGCCATTACTTCACCCCTTTCCACACATCACTAGCAATAGATCCCACAGCCCACACTGATACAGATTGAAGGTGAAAAGCCCCAAAACTTCTACTTTTTGAATCTTTGGTGCGGCAGGGTGGGTGGGTAATGAACACACACCAAAAAAAAACCAAAACCAACCAACCAAACAAAAACCAGAAAAAACAATGTCTTCCACCTCCCCACTAGTGCTAATGCAAAGGAGGAAGGAGTAAATTGCCTGAGGAAAGCCACTGCAGGATTGCTACTCCTCTTTGACAGCCTGCTGTGCATGAGCAAGCCTCAGAAAATAGATTGTACTTCCACAGCAATCCAAATTGCCCGAAATCTGCCCTGCTGTGATCCCATTCTTCCTTGCAGCAGCTGTACCACTTGTGCTTTTCTGGGGTGGAGTAGACAAAGAAGGAAATAAGAGGGATGGATGCTGTGCTAGGTGTCTACCAGCTGAGCTCCTGGAACTATCTCACTCAGACAGTTTACCCACCAGTGCTGGTGTCACGTGGGAGTGGGAAGTGGGGTGAGGGTACAGCAGTGCCAGTGTGCACCTGATCAAACAGCTCCACTGGAGGTGAAGCTGGAGGCAGCTACCGACACTCCAGATCTGACTCAGGTTGGCAGGGAGAAAGGCAGAAAGGCATCCTGTCTTTCAGGTCAGGGCAGAATTAGGCGCACATCTAGAGAAATGCTTTGCCTGAAAGAGCTATGTGCTTCATGCTAGTAGTATCTCTTGGATTAGGGGGTATCCATGAGATTCATTTGGCAAATTCAGTTGTATGCTTTAAGAAGCCTAAATTATGCAACAAAGCCCTCACTGTTCTTAATTCTTTGGTTTCTAAACCCAAAACAAAACAAAACAAAATACACATGCTATATATATGGATCAGTACCAAACTAACTCAGACTAAAAAGCTTAAAGGCTTTCCTGGCTCTTGTAATTTTACTGGGAATGGTTATTCCAGAATAGTATTTTTCAACACCAACTACTCACCCATAAATAAATTACTAATCTTGTTTGGGAATAAAATAATCCACAGACTCTTACACTGAAATATTCCAGGATAGCTATTCCAGATTTTTTCTTGTAATCAATTGCTGAAAACAGTAAAGCCCTGAAGGCTTAAGAGAAGACAGAGAATTTAATAATGATTATAAAAAAACCTCACTCCAAAATTTTGCAATATAAAGTAAAGTAGTAGATAAGGACTAACCTTTTTTCCAGGTTTTAAACTTTTTTTCCTTGTTTTAAGATTTTCAGTATGAGAGGTGCTTTTTGTCAGGGGAATATTTTTAGGAGACCGGCCCTTCTTAGGAACTGCAGACTGTCCAGGGGGTTTGCCCCGGCCTGGTTTCCTGCCTCGCTGTGCTGGTACTGGAGCAGATTTCTGTGGAGACTGCATTGAACGCCGGGTCACTTTGGAAGGGGAAGATTGGATTTTTGCACTGCTCTTTGTAATGGAAACTGAGGAAAAACAAAAACAAAAGGGAAGGGGGGGAAAACCTCAAAATGAACAATGGAAAGCAACTTTTCTAACAAAGGCTTAAAAAAAGAAAAGTGTACTGCACAATTTACATTATAAAATAAATATACTTTGTATTTTGAACTTAAGTGGTTGGCATGAAACTGTGTAACTCTATTGAAGCCACAGAGAGAACTCTTTGTACCCGTTTTTTAGAGGAAACTTTCCTAAGAGAAAAACATTCAAATAAAAACTGGGGAAAAAAAAATAATTAATCCACTCACCTTATAAATGCTTCCCATAATTTAATTATGATATTTATAAAGTGTCATTCATCAAGAAGGCCACAAATTATACAGCCTATAATACATCCCTTTTCCTCTAAGAGCAGTTTCCACAATTACAAGACATGCCAACAACTTCTAGAGCGCTACAAAACAATTCTGTGCAGCAAAGAAAATCAGCCCACTGACAAGAAAAACTGATGACAGGTAAAAAGTCAATAATGAGTGTTTCTCTGAGATGCCAGTTTAGAAAGTTAAGTTCACATAATTATAACCAGATATTTCTGCCTTGAACCATTTGGAAGAAGGACTTCCAAAAATCAAACACAAAGTATCATTTTTATTCATTCTTTACATTAAAGTGGTTTTCTCCCATGAAACAGGTGAATCTCCCATTCCAATCCAAATTCAATATAAGATCCCAATAGACACCCACTTGGATATGATCCAATATGTATATGATATGACTGCATTGTAATCTGGCGTGAAGTTGCAGGATGTGATCAGATTTCACTGAATTGAACTGCCTAATTAAGAGTCTTTTCCATCCAATTCACTCTTCTCTGAAATAATGATGATTTGATTTTATCTATTTTCTACCCAACAAACAGATTAAAACACCAAAAGGATGCCAAACAGAACCTACATATAAGGACATATCCTCACTGAAAAGACATACTGCACCATGCTATAGCGGCACCTGTGGCCAAAAAAACCCGAACACTAAGTCCAGAAGGCCAACAAATATTCCATTTTGTTGACCTGCTTGCTGGCAGGCAGACAGATGTTACAAGTTGTGGAACAGGTAAGTAGAAGATGAAAATAGGAAATTTTGTGACAACAAACCACCCTTGTTGAGAAGTATGACAAAGAAACATGCAACATATTTAAGCCTTTACACTTAATAATTAGACAGTTTTCTAGTATGAACCTGCTCCTACCAAAGCCTTTTGCATCTTGCTGACAGGGAAACTCAAGTGATTTACTATGACCTTAAATACTATGAACCTAATGTGATGTAACTTAGACGTATTGCAAATTAGGGTTCAAGCAAGCTTTAACTACATCAGTCACCAGTGTCTGACCCAAAGCACTAATGCAGACTGGAAGCGGAGCACAGGGTACTGCTACTTCTGGAGTTTTGTGATTTTGGAATATTTCTTCTCTGAAGAGATCAGTATGCTGAGGCTTTCCGGTAACAAAGTAAAACAAAAAATAAAACACAAAGATGAATTTGAAATGAGATCTTAATAAAATAACGTATATAAAGACTTAGTAACAGTTTTAATGTCTAGCTCTCTGAGTGATACTCAACAGTCCAGCACCTAGCCTTACAACTGTTACTTTAACTCTGTATTTTTACTCAGGAGTTAACGGTTATTAAGTATTTGCAATAGAAAATGTCACAGTAAGATGAAATACACACTGTGCCCAGACGTCTTATAAAATACAAGTACTCCTGACATACATTTCTAGAGCTGTAGGAACATTTACATACATTGCTATTTGCCTGATTCGGTTACTAATCTAATATTCCTAAATGGCAGTTCAGAAGAAATCTCTTCATTATAGCTGGTTGCAGACCTAATACATCAAATATAGACGGGATATTCCCTAGGTATCTGAGAAGGACCACCTTCTGGATGTGCAAAGCGATCACTTTCTTTTTATTTATGTATGCCAAAATGTATTTTCATATGCAATGACAGCTTAAAATAAGATGAACAGAATTTTAACCAAATGCTGGCATAGCATTACTCTTATGTCCCTGAATTGCTGAAAGGCAACTCATGTTAAGCTGTATGTCTGGAAAGCAAAACAATATCAACTGTATGCTGTACAATCCAGTAATACATATTATGCCCTGTATTATGCTCACAACAATATAAAATGCAGTTATTTTGCCACACAACTATGCATTTAACAAAACAATCATGACCTTGTAAAGAAATGTTTAACAAATTCTTTGTGCCTCTGCCTGGGCTGAAATCTAGCAAATGCATTCCTCTTCTCGCATAGTAAAGACACAGATAATGCTAAATACGCGGCTGCTTTCAAGTAAACGGGTTCTAGGACCAGAGGTATGAGTTTTGGGATACTGGACAATCCCTATTCCCTTCCAGAAGAACATTTACTGGACAAAGAGTAACAATGCAATCAGCTGCAACCACTTCAGGTTGCGCTACTGAACCACACACATAAAGTACTACCTTATCTCAGCATCTTCCTACCTGTGTGCGCCAGAGGAGCAAATATTAGCAGCATTAACCATTAAGGGGGGGATCAGGTCCCATTGGTATTTTTCCTTCTGCCTAGGGCCGAAGCTGCTTTTTTCCATAGGCAGGACTGCAACAAAGCCCATGCTGCCTGGGCAGCCTCCTGGAGACAGCAGCAAATGAGGAGGCTGCTATTTGCATTTGTTGATTTAAGAGAGGATGGGGGGAGCACAAGGGAGTGGGAGACTGCTAAAGTAATTCCCATATTGTCTGCAGGCTGTATTGACAGTGATCATCAGTCACCTGCTCATACTTCCTTCACCCCGGCCTTCAGAGGGAGACCAAAGGTTACACCGGGTCACAGGATCTGGAGGGAAATGAAAAGACATGCAAAATCAAGCTGCCAACCCACTGCATCTGTAGACAGAGTTATCCCCACATGGCCACATGTTCCAAAAACTAAGACGTTTTAATAGTCTCATGAGAACTTGTTAAAATATAACGATGAAGAGAATAGAGAGGAAAAATGCCAAGCTCTGCTTGCAATTACTGCAGTATTTAGTTGGGATATTTACAACCAAAAAGCACATTTGCCTTTTCAGGATGCTGCTTTGCATCACAAAGGCCTTCTCATTTGCACAAACAAAATCAAGCGTTTGTGTCATGTTGCTCTCCTACACAAATATCCACTGCTCCAGTTTCAGGAGCGAGATGCATGGCTTTCCTTCCCAAGTATCGTATTTACACCCAAAACCTGTAGTGGCACTCTCAAGAACCAATAGACCCCACTGTACAGACATACTTCACCATAGTAATGTTAGCAACTAAAACATCATTTTCAAAGTTCACAGAGCTATAGTTATACTGCCGTGTTTGTGTGGGCTATGAGTGACTACCTTCATGCAACTCACAAACAGCTTTCATACTTCCAATCACTTCTCTTTCAAAACATTCTCCTTTTTTTCCTCCCAAATGATTCTGTGAGAATGCCAACACCTACCAACTTTGTATCCAGTGTACATAAGAGAAACCCCAAATGCTGTATCTTGGAACTCACAGACTAAAGATGCGTGGCCACAACTCAGCCCTAGTTAGAACAAGCAGATCCACTGCAGTCAACCAAGCTCATTTGCATAAGAAGGACATGAAAGATTAGACTTCACATGAGGGCCAAATTCTACTTTGCAGAAGCAGAAAAACTGCCCAGACACAGGCAGGACTGCAAAATTTGACCCCAGAATATTATCTCCAAGATCTCTTGCCAGAATAAGTCAGATATTTAAGGCAACTGTGAAATCTGAAGCTACTAAAACCTCCAGTACTTGGGAAGGGAACGGAACAGATGACAGCTCAGAAGCCTGAATTCTCATGCAATTCTAATTACTAAAATTCCCTCAAATAATCCACAGTGACAGTTTCACTCCATGTTTTTATGGAAAGCAGGGGAAAAAAGGTTCAGATTTGTAATATTTAAACATTATAAATCTACTGTTCAGTTAGTGTCACAGAACAGCAATTACATGACAAGACTTAAAAAAGCTGAAGTGAAATTACACGAAGGAATATAGGAACTCTCTTTGCTGTACATTCTGTAAACACAGCATTGCTACCTGAGGTGAAGGTGCCAATTAGGACAGTAAAAACAGTAGTTCACTGTTTAAACTAGGTTTTCTTTCAGGACAGAAATTATTCTACTTGTACTGCAGTATTGTTCCTATGCCTCCACTGATACGCAAATCCAATGTTCTTCTGAGAATATAAAAACTAGGTCCTTCTCTCATCTACAGCTGAAGAAAATGAGGCAAAGAGATTAAGCAACTTACCCTAAATCCATGTGAGCATTCCACAGCAAAAGTAATGGAAACATATCTCCCGAGTTCTAGCCTGGAATTTTAACTATAAAATTAACCTTCTTTAATACAGTAAGTTATTATCATGATAGTTTTGACAACTGGCAAAGGAAGTGGAAAAGATTAGCAATTTTTCAAAACAGCTTACTGCCAAGGATTATAAAAATTTATGTCCTTATGTCTCAATTCAACAAGAGAGCCATACAAAAGCATAAATATCTGTAATACATTCCACCTCTTTCTATCTGTGTTTGGATTACTTCTGATTAAGAGGTAGCTGCAAAATACTAATTGATATGTTGCTATGATACAAAATCAGTTAAAAGTAATTATTTTGCTATCTAAAAAGCAACACTGCACTTGGAAACTCCAGCATCCACCTTGGCAAGACATGGACACTACAACTGGCAATTTTCTTCTTTTTAGATTTTAGTCTCTATTACCAGTATAATAAAAGAAAGAAAAAAAACTCTTGCTATTTTCTGCACGAATTTTCTGCCTTTCACAACCCTGAAAGGTGAAATGGAGGGCTCCAAGCAGCGCAAGACAAAACTGGAGGAAAGGAAAAGCATTTCTCTCCTCATGACTTTCCCAGCAGCATTGTAGCCCCTTCAGTCCCTCACCCCTAGCCCTAGTCTCCCACACTTTCAAG